GCCTCTCCGCCCCCTGGTGCCTGACCAAGTCTGGCAGAGCCTCCCCCTGCTCCAGGGCAGAGTGGGCTTCCCTCTGCTCCCCAGACCCCACCGCCCAGAGGGAAGGCATGGGGGGCGGGGCTACAGGCCCAGGGCCCAGCGATGCCCCGCAGCAGCTGGGTAGGGGGTGAATCTGGAGTGACCAACAGAGCAACAACACAGACCTGAGTCCGAGACCCCCCGGGGAGCCGCAGAGCCCAAACGGTGTGGAAGCACCACCACCCTGTGGTCCTGAGCAAGTCACGAGCCTCAGTTTCTCAACTGTGAACAGAGCCTATGGGTGTCTGCCTATGAACATTAACACAGAGCACGTCCCCGATGCCAACCACGTCACAGGCACCCAACAGGCGGTCGCCAGGATTAGAATCACAAAGCCCAAAGGTCGATGTAAAAGGGGTCTTGTCTGCCTAATTCTGAGGGCTGCGGTGGCCGTCCCTATAATATATTTTTTAAGTTTATTTATTTTTGAGAGAGACAGACAGACAGAGCATGAGCAGGGGAGGGGCAGAGAGAGAGGGAGACACAGAATCTGAATCAGGCTCCAGGCTGTCAGCACAGAGCCCGATGCAAGGCTCGAACCCATGAACCACGAGATCATGACCTGAGCCAAAGTCAGACGCTTAACAGACTGAGCCACCTAGGCGCCCCGATGGGGGCCCCTTTGATGGGCCTCCCAGATCCACCTTCACCAAAGGGGCCTGGCTGCCGGGGGTGCAGCAGGGGAGTGGCGTAGCTCGTCCACCCCTCGGGCCCTGTCCCAGCTGCACGGGGCCACCCCGCCCAAGGTCACATGCTTCCCGGGGCGGCCCACATCTGAGAACTGCTCTATGAGGAGCGTGAAGGCCTGGCCATCTCGCCCCAACTCGGGACAGATCCGAAGGGCTTTTCCAGCTCCCGGGACCCGTGTGGGGTGGGCCCTGGCCTGTCAGGCCTGCACAGCGGCTGAGGCCCTCCTCTACCCACTCCTGCATCCTTTCCCTCCTTCCAAAGGCACCTCTTGGGGAGCCCCCTGCACACTAAACTGTCTAAGTAGCTTCCCAGGGAAACCCAGGCTGTGACAGGTGGCTTGTTCGTATCCTTTTTCCTTGGGAAGGGAGGAGGGAAGCAGTGTGAGGAAGACGGTGGAGACGGTGGAGGAAGAGGCCAGGAAAGAGTCAACAAAAGACCCGGTGACCTCTCCTCTTCCTCTGCAGTGTAAACAGCGGCACTAAAACAGGAGCCGCACTGCACTGGGCAAACCAGGGACCCCCTCGAAGCAGCGCCAAGAGTCCATCCTCGCCTCTCTCCTCACGGACAGAAAGACACAAAGGGGCCCCGGGGGAGGAACGGGGAAGAAAGAGTGGGGAGAAGCAGTGGCTAGGACCACACCGCACCAAACCCACAAACACGGCCAAGGAAAGTGCCAGAAGCTGATCAATTACTGGACACTGAGGTGTCTTCAGACCCAAGTGTTCTCAAAGGTAACAGCAGGGATTCACGCGCGCTTCCCACAGTGTGAGCACCCAAAGGGACGCCTTTGTTTGACCCAGGAGGCCGCCTGAGTCACCGACCTACACGTCCACTTTGCTTGCTTCCAGCTGGAGCTCCATCCACTCTGACGGCAACGGTTCCAGCGCCCGGACTCTCTCGGGAAGAGCCCTGTCTCGAAAGTTACTCCTCTATTTGCAAACACAAGTTCGTCACCATTTAAGAAACGCCGCGCGTGGGGCAGACACCATCTTTCAAATGACACCTGATCTAGGGACAGGGAGGCCTCCGTGCGGAGCCCCTCAGCTGGTGCAGACAGTCCTTGCTACGGTTGCAGGGGTGAGTCCCGGAAGAGAACAGCATTTGTTCAAGGTTGTGCGGCAGGGCCGGCCGAGAACTGCCAGCTGGGGAGGCTCTGGTGAGAGACTTCCTCCTTGGCCACACAGCCACACGGCTGCTCGCGAAGAGTGAGTGGAAGCCCAGTTGTCAAAGCGACTGCGAGCAGGGCCCCTGCCGGGTGGGGGGCCCTGTGGTCCCCGAACAAGCCGTGCAGACAGCGGCCAGGCAACACGGAAAGGGCATGAGGCCCAGCCCCGCCACCCCACCCCGGGGAGTCAGCCCGAAGCTGGGCCTGCATCCTACAGACGGGGGCCCCTCCCTTTCCCCAAAAAGAAACTAGGGCTCCATTTATATGAACAGTCCCGGACAGGCAAATCATAGAGACAGGACACATACTGGTACTTCCCAGGGGCTGGGAGGGAGGGAGAGTGAGGAGCAATTAATTGCTTCATGGGGAGGGGGTGTCCTTTCGTGGTGACAAAAACGTTTTGAAACTATTAGAGTTGGTGTTCGGAAAACACCGGGAATGTACTCAATGCCTCTGAACTGCGTACCTTGAAAGGGTTAATTTTACGGTGTGTGACATTTGCTGCAATATAAAAAAAAGGGGCAGATGAATAAATAAATACCTACATAAATCAGTGTTCCGCATTGTGCTTGGGAGGCAGCTTGGCCACGCTGGTTGGAGGCATGGCCACTGCGGCTGCGACTGCATCGCAGGGCTCAACTGCCAGCCCCACCCGGCGCCCCCCTGGGAGGCCTGTTAAGTAATGCAACTTCCCTGGGCTTTAGCGTCCCAGGGGGTAAGACAGGCATACTGCTTCCCAGGGTGGCTGCAACTAGTAAATAAAATGGTAGAGCCTGGAGCCTGCTTCGGATTCTGTGTCTCCCTCTCTCTCTGACCCTCCCCTGCTCACGCTGCCTCTATCTCTATCTCAAAAAAAAAAAAAAAAAAAAAAAAAAAAAAAAAAAAAAAAAAAAAAAAAAAAAAAAAAAAAAAAAAAAAAAAACATTAAAAAAAAAAAAAGGTAGGTCAGCATCCAGCATAGAGCCCAGCACAGACTGACCCCAGGACCTTTGCCTCTGCCATCTGCCCACAAAGAATGCCCTTTCCTGGGGCAGATGTTGCCTCCTTCAGGCCTTTCCTCAAATGCCACCTTCCTGATGGGGTGGTTCCTTGACCCCCTGCTTGAAAACCAGAAACATCCCTGCCAACACCTGCCCCCAGGCTCCATCTCCTCCTCGACCTGTGTCTCTCCCCAGGACTTCATTATTTATTTTGTCCATCTCCTTCCACGGTTCCGTCTGTCCTGTTTAGTATGCACGCTGGGGCCTCGAACAGAGCATGGCCCAGGGCAGGTGCTCAGTAAATACATGTTGAATGGCTGGTGTTAGCGAAAACCTCGGTCCCGATCCGGTGTGTAAACCTGCCATCCTGACAAAAGAAAACTGCTGTTTGTTGTTTTAAGGACTTTGAAATAAAAAATTAAGCCCATGTGGGGCACCTCAGTTGAGTGTCCAACTTTGGCTCAGGTCACGATCTCACGGTTCATGAGTTCGAGCCCCGCATTGGACCCTGTGCTGACAGCTCAGAGCCTGGAGTCTGCTTCAGATTCTGTGTCTCCCTCTCTGTGTTCCCCACCCCGCTCATGCTCTCTCTCTCTCTCTCGAAAATAAAGATTAAAAATATTTTTTTAATTAAGCATAAGTTTACGTTTAAAAACCATAATATTTCCATCTAAGTATTACTCCCCAAGGGGGTAATCTGCAAAAGAGACAGAGAGCAGTAAGATGGTGCCACGTGCTTTGAAAGATAAATCAACGAAGTCGCCCCAATTTCCGAGTGCCCACACGAGGGCTGGGCCCATGAGGCTTCGGAGGACAAGGAACACAGTGCTGTCATGGGCACCTGGGACCCCGTTCCTCCAGGCACTTCAGGCCAGAAGAACAGGGCAGGCGAAAAACAGGCCTTTCCCAGCGCCCTGCCCCCCTCCGTGCAGCACGATGGCCACCCTCATGGGACGTGGCTTCCCAAGGCCTCAGATGGGGAAATCGTGACCCCAATTATCCACAGCACAAAAATGGGGGGGGGAAGAGTCAAAAACAACCCTCAGACGCATCTTAAAATAGCCTTTCTAGTTAGTTCTCCTATGAGACCAAGACATTGTTACCCCATAGAGCAAGAGAGCGGCTTTCTCACTGTCTCCAAATCCTGAGCAGAGAAAAAGCAAAAGCTGAAGCCAGCAGCCTCGGAGAGTCTGAGATTTCACAAAGACAACAAAACAAGACCAGAAACTGAGTAAAATCAAGGAGTATCTTCCATCCCACTGGGCGCCATGAGTGGGTATTAACCTGGCTGTGGGCTCGAACCTATGGCAGGGGCTGAGTTAGGATTCAGCTAGTCCACACGTCTCAGGAACAGACTGTCCCCTCCCACCCCCACCCCCGCCCCCTCCCCTTCCCACCCCCACCCTCCCTCGGCACCCCCACTGCAAGTTTCAGTAGGTCTGGGGTGGGGCCCTGTATCATTTGCATTTCTAACCAGTTCCCAGGTGAACAATTCCTGCTGGTCCAGAGGCTACTCTTTGAGAACCAGGGCTCGAGAACAAAGTCTTCCATGTTAGTAGTGCAACTACACACACACACACACTCACTCACACACACACACACACACACACACACACACACACACAGGGCCAGAGAAAGCCCCTGCCCAACCACTGGTCTTCAAGTAGCCAGACCAGCCTGGCCCAGCCACCAGCTGATGGAACGCTCAGAGGTACCGGCACCCCAGACTCTGCTTCCACTCAAGTCCTGCACAGGCCAGTCACTGCCAAGAGGCTCTGGGGGCACAGCCGGAACCCCTGAAACCCAAAGTCCCGGCATTTCCCTTTTCTGAGAGCGGTCATGAGCAATCCCACCCCACTTGGCCCTTTTGCACGAGGCTAACGCCCCGGCTGCAAGATCCGCTTTCCGTTCAGGGATGCTTTCAAGTTTCTGAATCAGAAGATGCGGCTGAAAGAGGAAGCCACACACCCCAAAATAAAACAGCATGCCACTCAAGGAGCGCTACGGCATCCCCGATGGGGAGCCCCTCCCCCAAATGCAGGGACCCTGTCACCCACGGCGGGCCACGCCACCAATCTCTCACTCACCAAAGTAGTCGGCCTTTGGGTGAGCACCCATCTCACGCTCCAGACGTTGAGTGAGGGCTTCTAACTTCAGTTCGGCGGCCGAGGGCCCAAGCTCGGGGCCTGGGATGACGGTCTGGCAGGGCAGCCTCACCCTGGGGGAGCTGGGGCTCTCCGGGAGCCCAGGCCCCAGGCTGCCGTCCGATGACCAGCCAGTGGGGCCTTCTTTACAGGGTAACTCAGGCGGGGTGGACATCCCTGGATGGACAAGGCTGGTGGCGCTGAGCTTGGGACCAATGCCAGAGTCTGTGCAGACGGGCTTGGGTCCAGGGGCCGCCCCCGACGGCAAACTGTCCGTGCTGGCTGCTGAGGATGATGGGGCAGAACTAGGAAGGTAAGACTTGGGTCCATCTTGGAACCAGGCTTGAGGGTCCATCGTGGGTTTGGGCATGGTGCCTGAAACCTCGCTCCCCACCCCCAAGTTTGTTCTGGGAAGAGCTCCCTGGCTGGGGCAGCTCTGGGCCGGGGGTGCTAAGAAAGAAGGGGTCCTGGGCTGAGCGGGCCCCAGGAAGGCCCCGTTCTCTGGGCCTGGGGGAGAAAGGCCAGGGCTCACCCGCTGGGAAGAGGCGGTAGTCCAAAGCCCGGCTGGCTTCTCACCGCTGCGGCCACCGCCGCCACCACCATCCTGGCCACTCTCCGATGACTTGCTGGAGCTCGGGGACAGCTGAGGCTGGTACAGGGAAGGGTCCCCGGGGGGGTTGGGCAGCGGTGCATCAATCCCTGGGGTGCCAGGCCACCCACTGCCTACGCCCCCCCTGATGCCGGGGGACACTCCCGGTTCATCAGCCCACTTCGGGCTTCCCAAAGAGAGGTTGTCATAATAGTCTCCGTGGGTGAGGCAGGAAGGATCCTCGCAGGGGCCCGGCTGGCGGAAGGCAGACATCTCCCAGCGTGCCACGCTCTCCTTGGAGCCACAGTCCTGGCTGCCGAGGCTTGTGCCACGGACGTACGGCCTGGCCCTCTGGTCCTGGGGTGGGTACGAGGGCTGCCCAGAGGCGACCGTGGTGGCTGTCCCAGGACCCGCTGTTGAGGCAGCGAGAGGGGGCTTGGCAGCCCCGTGCGAGGTCAGCTTGCTGCCCACACCAGCGTCCCGGCGGACCTGTGGGCCGGGGGGGCCCCCGCCGTTGGCCGGGGCTCGGCTCCCCCTGGGCAAGGCGTCCTCCTGCAGGAGCTGCTGCTGCTGCTGCTGGAGGTGGATCTTGGCCATCTTGGTGGCAAACACCCTGCGCGTTTCCTCAAACTCGGGGTTGTTGCCCGCTCCCTTGTCCACTCGGAAGAGTCCGTCCTTGGAGGCCTCGTACATGTTCAGGTCCTCAATGAATTTACTGGCCTCCAGGCCCAGGTCGCCGTACTTGTCCATGTCGCAGGCGGGAGTCAGAGGCTAGCCCAGGTGGCCGGTATGCGGCTGCGGGGGGAGGGGGGGAGGTGCGCAGGTTGCTGACGCCGGGCGGGGGCTCAGGTCCAGCCCAGGACAGGTAAAGCCTTCCACCTGCGGAGCCGGAGAGTCATGGCCTCAGGCCTGGGAGTCCGGCCGGAGTGGAGGCCTCAAGGCCGGCTGGCCCAAGTTTGCTTCCAACTCCCTTTCCCCTCAGAGGTGTCCACGTGGGGGCAGCTGGTGGCGCTTCACCGGCCCCGCTTGCCGCGCGTTCTTTTCTCTTTTGCAAAGCGTAAAAGGAAGAAGAAACAGAAAAAGACAAATCCCCTCCGTAAGCAACCAAAGTCCGAAACGGGACGACGAGAGCAGCCTCTGGACGGGGCTGCGTGGGGCCGGCTCGGCGGGGGAGGGTGGAGGCCGCCGGACCCGACGCGGCACAGGCGCGGCGGCCGGGGGCGCAGGCACGTCCCGAGCGCCGGGTGCTCGCGGCTCCCCGTCCAGCGCGGAAAGGGGCGCGGAGAGGGGCGCACCGGCCGGCCCGGGCCGAGCAGGAAGTCCACGGCGGCCGCGGCGGGCGGCCTATTGTCCGATGGCGGCGGCGGCGGGGCGCGCGCGGGCCGGAGGGCGGCGGGACGCGGAAGTGAGCGCGCCGGACGCAGTCCCCGCCGCTCGGTGGCCGGCCGGGCGGGCGCGTCCCGGGCCGCGAGGAGGCGGGGGCGGGGTAGGCGGCCGAGGGGCGGGGTCGGCGGCGGCGGCGGCGGCGGGTGCCCCGGGGCAGGCCTGCGCCGCGCGGCGAGGCCCCGCCGCCCTCTCCCCGGCCGGGCGTGGGGGGCACGCGGGGCTGCGTCCGAGCTCGGGAGCTGGCACCGCGCCCCCGCCCCCCGGGGCCCCGCGCCCCGCTCGCGGGCTCCGGGCCGGCCCCGCCCCTGGGCGCGCCGCGCGGGGGCCTCCGCGCGGAGACCGCTGGCGGGCGGCCCGGGCAGCCCGCGGGGGCCCGCCACGTGCGGCTTCGAGTTTGCGGGAGCCTCGAGGGTCCGCGCCCCTCGCCCCACCGTGACCCAGTTCCCCAGGTGGGCAGTCATCCCCGTGTGTCGCCTCCGCTCAGGCCGTGCCGGCCTCCAGGCTTGCCCAGGGTGCGCGACTGGAGGCCCGGGAGGTCACCCGGGGCTGGCCCCAAGTTCTCCTTAACAGGTGGGCAGACTCAAGCACGGAGGGGGAAGTGGGAGCCCAGGTCCTCTGAAAGGAGGAAAAGAAAAAAGTCACGTTGTTCCCCGGTGCTGGTGCCTCCTTATTCCTAAAGGGATTCCTGACCCTCCCCCCCCGGGTCCGCACGACCTCTGGGGCTGCGGGCCTGACTCCTGGGCGCCCCCGCCTGGCCCAGCGCTCCTAGCACCAACTCCGAGGTGACCCTGCCGAGGTGTCGTTCATTTCCCACCATCGCAGCCAGAGTGATCCTTAGGCAAACACCAGACCAGTCACCTCCCTGCTTAAACTCAGTGCTTAACTCCGAGGCTTGGATTAAAATCCGCTCTCTACCTGAGGCCCTGGCGGGCCCTGCCTTCCTCAACTTGATTGGGGACCCTGGGCCGCTGTGCTCTAGCTGCAGGAGCTTCCTAGTGTCTGCCCAGAGCTTGACCTTGAACTCTCATGGCTCATCCTTCCCATCTTTGCTGAAATCACCTCCTCTTTTTCATCACCCTCTTTCTTTTCTCATCAGTTCTGATCACTATTTATGTATCTGTTTACATGCAGTTTTTTTGTTGTTTGTTTGTTTGGTGGTGGTCGGTGGGTTTTCCACCTCATTGAGACCTTATCTGGATACCCAGTACATAGTAGATAGTAGTACATACTAGTATCTAATGGTTGAAAAGGTGAATTAGTGAATCTATTTACCAAGACTGTGACAGGGAACAAATAAAATAATCTACATAAAAAGTGCTCTCTATATTCTGTAAACCCCGAGTGTGGTTTACATGAGTCAGTATGCTATACTCACCAGGAAACTCGTTGAAAATATCAAAATTCACTACTCCCTCCCCCCATTCCAGCCATCCAACCTACTAAACCAGAATCTTCATTTTAACCAGATTCCACAGTGCTCTGTTTGCACAAGTTTGAGAAGCGCTGCTGAACAGAACTATATAGAATGAAGTAATTTTACTTTTACAAAGTCTTTTAACTTTTTTTATCTACAAAAGTAACGCACATTTATGGTCACAACTTTGAACAATACAAAGACACGTGAACTTTTAAAAAGTTGCCCATGATCCCCTTGACCAGAGATCATTGTTAAACGATCCTTCGGTATTCAGTCATACTTGGTAACTGATCACTGGGTTTACTCATAGAGTGAGTGATGTGCCTGTGAACGCTGTACAACAGTGGCTTTCAAACGAGGGCCCTGGACCGAGCAGCAGCAGCCGCCCCTGGAACTGGTCTAGACCTGTGGTTCCCAAACCTGAACACCGATCAGAATTCCGTAGGGAGCTTACTAAACACTGCTTGCTGGGACTTACCACCAGCTTCTGACTGGACGGTTCTGGGGTGCGGCCTAACAATCTGCCTCTCTAGTTCCCAGGTGTCTCTGATGCAGGTTCAGGGGCCACACTTGAGAACCACTAGAGTCCCAAGTCCCATGCTTTTGCTCTAGGCACTGTGACAGTGGCCGTTAGTGTACGGGGAGGTGAGGGCATCCATCAGAGTAGAGAGCTGTGGCCCACGGCACCTGACCCCTGAGTATCGGGGACGTAGCTGACAAAGTGCCGGGAACCTGGATACTAGAGCCACAGACACCAGCCAGGGCCTCTTGTAAATCAGTTTTCTCTTTTCATGCTAAGCCGGCAGCACCTGAGCCCATAACCCTTGGTCCCTACAGGCTCCTCCCACCCCTGCCCTCTGTTTCACCTTGCCCGGAGCACTCAGAAGCCATGGGTTTTACTCCCCATCCCCGCTGCAGTTCTAGAAACTGCTGCACCATCTCCACACACACACCTGAACCCATCATCTACCTATTTCCCCACCGGACTGGCTGGCCCCCTCCTGGTCAGTGGAGTCCCTTATAGCTTTACAGAACAGCGCATAAAGATAGCATCCCAGGAGCACCACAGCACATCACATACTCGTGGGAAGGGCTCCTCGGAAATGACAGTCATGGCCAGGAGGCCACTGGGTATTTTACTGCTGCTGTTTAATGCTTCAGAGGCAGAACTGCTTTCCAATTCCGTGCCCAACATTTAGAATCCCAGCCATGATTATTTAACGTAAGCCGGTTTTGTCTGTTCTGTGTGCTTGGAAACATCTGTTGATTAGAATCTCAAAAAAATGTGTCCAGGGGCGCCTGGGTGGCTTAGTCGGTTGAGCGTCCGACTTTCGCTTGGGTCATGATCTCGCAGTTCGTGGGTTCGAGCCCCGCGTCGGGCTCTGTGCTGACTGCCAGCTCAGAGCCTGGAGCCTGTTTCAGCCTGTGACTCCCTCTCTCTCTGACCCTCCCCTGCTCACGCTGTCTGTCTCTCTCTCTCTCCTAGAAATAAATAAAACATTAAAAAAAAAAAATGTGTCCATACTTGCGCATCAGTTGTTTAGAAAGCAAAATACTAAAGACCTAAATCTTTTTATCAGTAAGTAGGCAGAGCATGGATGGTTTTAAGTGTTTACCGATGTTTTGTTTTGTTGGATGAGAAATGCCCCACACTCTATTTTACCAACAAAGCCATTCCACGGCAGTGACCATCCCCCATGGCCCTGCCTGTAATAGGAGCCATGATACACATACAGCTTTCCTTTAGCCTTGAAGCTTATTGTCACGAGCACATGGGTATAAAAAGTGTGTGCCCATGAACACACTTGTGAAATGTGGAATTTTCAACTTGACCTGCCCAGAATCTCAGTAACATCAATCAGATTAAGTGCCTTCAGCCCAGCCCCAAACCCTCCAGCAGCATCCTAAACCACAAGGAGAGGGAGACCCTCCCCTTGACCCTATGTGATCGGGCCTCTGGCCACCTCTCCCGCCTCATTTCCCTCCAATCTGCCTTCTTCCTCTGCTCCAGCCGCACTGACTTCCTCACTGTGCCCTCACCTTGCATTCGTTCACTCACTGAGCAAACATTACTGAGCGCCCAGGGGGCCTTGGGCCCTTTTCCAGTGCTGAGGATACAACAGTGAACAAAATAGACACGGCTGTCTATCTGGACTTACACCCCAGTGCAGCAGGGTAGACAATAGAGAAAATAGACACCTGCCATGTGGAAGACATTAGAAAGTGAGGGGAGCTAATGTGAAAGATGAAATAAGGAAGAGGATGGGGCGCCATTTTGAATACAATGGCCAGTCTCACTGAGCACAGACTTGAAGAAGTGCAAACGGAAGGAGCCATGTTGGAGACGGACATCTAAACAGCCCTTCTCAGGAGTTTTGTTGGGTATGAAGTGGAATAGAGGGGGAAATGCCATCAAGAGAGGCTTTTTTACATTATTATTATTTATTTATTTTAGAGAGCAAGAAAGTGTGAGCTAGGGGGAGGGAGAGAGAGAGAGAGAGAGAGAGAGAGAGAATCTCAAAAAGGCTCCATGCTCAGTGCGTAACCAAGCACGGGGCTCAGTCCTATGACCCTGGGATCATGACCTGAGCTGAAATCAAAAGTCAGATGCTCACCTGCCTGAGCCACCCAGGTGCCCCTAGACATTTTCTGTAAATGTGGGAAGTGGTGCACGTGTCTATGCTGATGGGAATGGCCCCCTGAGGTGGGGGTTGGGGCAGGAGAATTGCTCTTGTAGGGGAGAAAGAAGGGGATTTTTGGAGTGACATACCAGAGTAGCAGAGAGGGCCAAGCTCGACTGCAGATTTCATCCATGGTAACAGGAAGGACGTGGGCAAGAATCAGGTAGGGAGGTACGTAAGGAGTTGGAATCTCAGGGTGGTAGGCAGCTCTCCTGAATAGTTTCCTCAGAGGCCAGCTGCAGTGGTGGACCGGTGAAGTGGTGCACTGATGTGGGCATGAAGTAGGTGGAGAGTTGGATCCAACTGGCTTCTGCCAAGTGAGCGCAATGTATCTAGAATGGGCAAGACACTTGCCATTTCTCCTGCCTAGACCCTGCTCCCCTCCCCCGAGGCCCCATAGCCCTGTGACTCCGTGGCCTACAACCCTCTGGTCTGCACCCAGCGGTCCCTTCTCAACTCCCTGTCTCCATCCCTGTCCCCACCTGTCGTTGCAGGGAACGTCTGTCTCCTCACTGGGACGCAAACCTCTCCCCAGGCTATGGGTCATTGGCCATTCTGTCCATTGTTATGTTCTGGGAACCTAGAACAGCGCCTAGCATGTGGTAGGGCCCCTTCAAAATGCTTGGTAAATAAATGAAGGGGTCCCAGTTGAAAAGCGAGTACAGGCATTATCATCTATAGGTGGAAAAAAACTAGTTGGACTTAACCATGACCCAGATTTGGAGAGACAAAGAAAGGAGACTGTATTATTACTCTTGCAACTTTGGGTGTCATCACAAACCTTCTGTAGAGCTTAGTGATCACCTTGTACAAACATCTGATCTACATCATACATACTCTATCTTGCTAGTCAATTGTGACTATATAAAGATATGTGTGTGTGTGTGTGTGTGTGTGTGTGTGTGTGTGTGTATTTGAATGTATAAAGGA